CACACATATACACGATGAAGTTTTACTCAGCCATTATTATGTCATTTTATGGAAATTATGTTATTTTCAGGAAAATAGATAGAACCGGAGATCATCATGCCAAGTGAAATAAGCCAGTTCCACAAAGACAAGTATCACATATTTCCTCTCATATGTGGAATCTGGAGTGGGTGGGGAAGTGGCATGAAAGTAAAGGGGGAGTACTAGGGATCTAGAAGAGTAAGGGGGGAAAGAGGAGAGAGAGGAATTACAAAAAGTGACAGAGGGGGTGAATACGATCAAAGTATATTATGTGCATGAATGGAAAAGTCATGACAAAACCTCTTACTTTGTACAATCAATATATGCTAATAAAAAAAGAAAATATTTCAACTCCCCATCCAAGAATCCAGAATCATTTAATGCAAGTTTTAGGAACTAATTAACTTTAATCAGAAGTCATTAGGAACATAAATACACTGCTGTGTTGAAAACAGAACCATCAGAATAGATGGGGCCACACTGCTGATTGTACAGAATGACAAGTCATTTGTCACTGATGAAAACTACGGGTGCCTCCCAAGGGCTCAGTGAAATGTGTCATGTGACTACTTTTAAGGGTAATCACTTCCTGCTACTTCACACTTGGAAAATAATCTGACCATATTTGTTTATGAAGTACCAAAGTACCAATAACTGTAAGAATAAAAGAAGAAAAGAAAAAGAAAAAAAAAAGAAAAAGAATATAAGGCAAGATGATGATGTATGGAATTATCACAATGAAATCCCTCTGTCTAAAAGAAAATAATAAGAGGCATGTCCTATAATATAATAAGCATTAAGTGGACTAATAGTCTCAGAGTTTGTGGGATAAGGACTTTGACATTTGTCTTTTTTTTTTCTTTTTTGTGCCATGTATCAAAATAGCTAAGAACAAGCTTTGTGTATTCCTATCATCCCCAGGACAGTATGCCACAGGCTGGAGTTGGTTAAATTATAGACCCTGCACTGTCCTAACATCAAGGTAAACAAAGAGGAGGTATGGTGGGGAGTTGGGAAGCAGGCATAGGCTAGGAAGGAAATGCTGTATTGCTCAGGACTGCACTAAGGAGACACCTGGGCTCAGAACCAGCTAAAAGCAAAAACAGAACAGCTTCTGAAAATACACGGTCGTTTCATGCAGCTAAAATTAGTAAAAGAAAATGAAAGCCTGGGACTTGTTCAAATCCCCACAGGTAAAAATAGTTGGTTAAAGTTTTAAAGAGAGGGCTGGTGACACAGTTCAGTGGTAGACTGCTCACCTAGCATGAGAGAGACAATGGGTTCATCCCAACCATTGGGGGAAAAAATTAAGAGTAAAAACAAGATGAAATGCATTATCAACTAGGTTATTTTAAAAAATGTCTGGATTTTTTCATTACAGCTTACTTGATGCTGTTTGGATGGGCAAGTATATAACCACAGCCCTCAAATCATACCTTACTTCATTGTTTACCAATGATGGCTAATGCCACAAATACAACATAGAGGTTTGTATCTCTAATGTAACACTTAAAAGGCGTTATATTCCCAAAGCAACTGACAATAGTCTTCAAAGGATGACTGCAGTGCCGAGGAAAATGCTCTCAACCTGAGAAACTGAATTTACATTACATAGTGACTACTGTTAGTGCACCAGGCAGGGAACTATCTGCATAGTTACCACTGGACATTAGTTAAACACCATTTATGTTGTTTTGCAATCTTTGCCTCTGTTTACATAAGACAGCCTATAAACTATTTTAAGAGGTGCACAATGCTTCGAAGGAAGAAAACAATACAGTATGGGAGTGGAGGATGGAATACATAATAGCTTGCCATTCACAAGGGAAATTTTTTTCCCACTCTCCATTCACACAGGACTAAGGGCAATCCTGGGTACACTGAATCTAGATGGCACAGTCACTGCATGTCTCTTGATAGAAGGGACCAACTTCAGCTTTCACACTAAATACAAAGAAAATTGATCATAAAATGCTTTTTCATTGGGAAACAAAACCACTAATACATCAATCCAGATAATACATGTAAGTCAAGAATATCTTGGAAAACTTAAGATATATGCTTACCCTACAATATTTGAGATCTTTGTAGCAAAGTACCTGGGACAAGCTAAAGACTCACTCATCTCTGATGCTGATGTCCTAATGGCATCAAAAGGAAAGAATAAAATTATTGGTCATATCATTTAAACTTCATCCAGAGAAGGAAGCATTGTTACCAGCAATCCTTAATCTAACATAGGACGTGGGTTTCATTTAACAGGACACTTCCTAAACTGCTTTTAGTCCATGAGAAGCCTCACAATGGTGTGAGGCTGCAAAGAAGCTTTAACAGCTACTCAAGAGGGAACCATGAGAGTGGTCCTGAGAGCTACTGGTTTTCAGGAAAGAGAACCAAATACCAATCAGACTGCTAAGTACCAGGCCTGGTTTTGCCTCTGAACTTAGCTTAAGTTACTTAAATATTATACACCTATAACATCTGAGGGCTTGTCTAAATGTTATGTAATAATCTAAGTATGAAATTTTTCTATGTGGAAAACCCAAAGAAGAACTAAAAAAAAAAGAAAGGCCTCCTGGGAGAGAGATTCTATATTCAAAAAACTCCAGTTCAACCATAGACTACAGTCTGGCATGACAGCTATTTCAGATGTGTATGGAGGGTTGGGATCCACCATGTGTTTTCTTTAGTATATTCATCCAACCTCATTCCTAGGTAGTGTGTAAGTCTTACTAGTATCTTAACAACTCAATATTAGCTTCCTTTGGCTTTAGTAAGTAGCACACCTTGGTATTTTTGTCAGCAATGACAGGTGTTCATTTTCAAAGCTTTGATTGGGAATTCCTCCAGACTTTTCCATCTGGAAATTTACATAGTGTTTGCTGGGCTTGGACTTCTTCCTCTCAATTCTAACTTAACTAAATCAAGTACTCTGTACTTGGTGTGGTGGTTGGTGGAATCCTGCCATGGATCTTCTATGATTTCCTCCTTCCTTTCGGGTGACTTTGATACAGTCCTTAAAACTGTATGGAGAATGACACCACCTGGTGATAATGCTACCAAGAAATCAAAGAGGATCATACATAAATTATAAAGCTACCAAGAAATCAAAGAGGGTTATACACAAATTGTCTTTGCAAGGAGCTTCTACTAATGTTTTGAGTAGAAAAGTTTTCCCTTTCTGCTGCTCCCCACAGCGTGCCCACACATTCTTTCCTGACTAAATGAAACACTCATGGTCAGAAGACACTAAACTTGTCCTGATGCCAGGTGCCTTACTTCAGTAATATTTGCTGCTTTTGGCAATAGTAGATTCCTCCCTGAACCAAATTTGAGAGGCGAGAATAAATGTGTTTGGGACTTTCAGCAAAGTCTGGAGTGGACAGCAAATTTCACTGTGCAGCAAAAGAATCATTTGAGAATTCTGTGAAAAATCAGACACCTACGCTTCGATTCTGAGTCAGCAATCTGGGACAAGGCCTAGACATCTGCATTTGTAATTAGCACACACCTACCCCATTCCTACGCTGAGGTAGGCAGTCATCCAACTTCAGCTTTGAGAAGCACCTAAAGAAGTGACACACCACTTACTTATCTGTAAAGAAGAAATCATGCACACATCACCAGTACACCAGGCACATGGCCCACCATTAAATTCACCCTTGGGCAGCAACTCTTCCTGTCAGAAAAGAGCTGACTGCATACGTATCTGGCCATCTTAAGCATCCAACGCTAATGCCCACCCCACACGAGCATTTTGTTCAGAAAGCCACATGCTCTTTAATCAAGTATACCAAGTAAAGAAACACTTCCAAATTCGGGTGGATTTTTAAGGTAAGCAATTACTTTATTTACTTGGCTTGACAGCATTGACTTCATTATACAAGAACCTGCAGCCGAAAAAACAGACATGCCAATTTGGCCCAACAGGAAGGTTCCTTTCATTAGCAGAGATGAATTGAAATATCATGTCTGAGTGCAATTCCTGCTCCCCACCCCCACCCCACATCACCCCTAAATGAAAATAAACCAATGAAAGCCCCAGGAATCACTAAAAGTCATCCCTTCAAACTCTTCTGCTTAGCAGCTACAATAGATAAAAACTGAGGGGGGGTGGGGAGCTGGCGTTCACCGAGCATTCCTGCAAGTGAGCAAGAATTCTGGGTAAGTGGCAGGTGTGGATAATCTACCTTCCCTTATACCTGTCCTTGTACATGGAAAATGCTAAAGGAAATGGCTAAAGAAGTGCTGTTAGCCTGCAACTGGAAACGCCTAGGCTCATGAAATTCCAAGTGTGGGATAAGGGCACAAGAAAAGAGAAGGTTAGACAGAGATGCTCGACACTCGGTCTCAACTCCAGTTTAATGCTACCAAAACTATTCCAAATCACATTTAAGTCCTGGTCCCTATTTTCCAAAGGGAACGTGAGCTCCATCTAAATGTCTATATGGATGAACACTGCCACCACTGGAGTGGCACTGTGACATCTGTGTGTAAGAACAGGAGTAGGAGGAAGGGAGGGAGGTAGAAACATAGATCAGGGGCCACAATGCTTTAATTACAGTGGGTGTCTTTTGGTCCCTAGGTATGGTCCACTACCACAAATCTGAAAGCATTCCTGTTCCCATTCCCTATCTGTCTATGCAAAAGTCAAAAATCAAATCTCTGCTCAAAGAAATGGGAGTTTCTGCTGGACTGCACTCTCTGTGACTTCAACCTGTCCCCACCTGATCCTGGGATAAAATCACACAAAAATAAAATCTCAGTAATGCTGTGAAATTATGTCATCCCTGTTTCTCTATCAAAGCCAATCCAACAGCTCTGTCTTGATAGGCTTTCTCCCTGGGCCGAGGAAGCAGCAAAAAATAACAATTGAGCATGTGAAAATATGATGACAGTGTGTGCAGTGTAATGCTTTCCAATGTCTTCACCTTCTGTCTCCTTCGTAGTGGGAGCCCTCCCTCTCATTCCCCGAGTCCCACTCGCACCCCTCCCCTACCCCTAAGTCCAAGTGCTCCCATCTGCTGGGCTTCCACCACTCACTTCCCATAGACACTCTCATCACTGTAGGCCACATACAGAAAATAGTCTTCCTCGTGGTTATCCTGGGGGAAGAGATAAGACAGTTCAGAAAACATTCATATTCATTATCACTATAATTCTGAGCCTCAATACAACTATGTAAAGTAGGTATGTAAGTTATCATTACCTTCCTTTAAAAAGACGAACAGGTCTAAGAACATAGCTCAGTGGTAGAGCACTTCCCTCCCATGTGTGAGGCTCTGGGCTTGATCCCCCAGAATTGGGAAAAAACAACACGTGTGGTAGTATGCACCACCTATACCCCACCCTGGTGTGGCTGAGGCTTCAAGACCAGCCTGAGCTACACAGCAAGACCCTGTATCAAAGAAAAAACAAAAACAAACAAACACCCCTACATACACACACAAAAAAAAAAATAGGCAAAAGTGGTTGTAACTAGGGCACAGTCAGTCCTTACTTTTTTTCTTTTTTCTTTTTGGCAGAACTGGGGTTTAAATTCAGGGCCTCATACTTGCTAGGCAGGCACTCTACTGCTTGTGCCATCCCACCAGCTCTTTTTTGTGTTGGGTGCTTTTGAAATAGGGTCTCTTGAACTATATGCCCCATGTGGCTTAGAACTGCTATCCTACTGATCTCTGCCTCCTAAGTAGGTAGGATTACAGGTATGAGCCACTGGCACTAAGCTACAGTCCTTACTTTTAAAAAGTTCATTCTAGCAAGGAGAACACAGATACTCCAAGACACATATACAGGATTTATACTCACAGAGAATGTATGTTACAGAATAAGACTCTGCCTTAATTTTAACTTTTATTTTATCTGATTCACTGTGCTCAGATAATAGAACTCTCATCTATGGTCTTAGGTTCATTCTAAGAAGAAAAGCTTCCCTATGGGGTTGTCTTAAGACAAATCTCCAGAGTATTTTATGTAGGGAACTAACTATAATGAAGTAATGAAGAGAAAGAAGTCAGCTTTACTACTGTTTGCTTCCTCAATCTGCTACTACATGGGAGAAATGGGTTAGAATGCATTGTTCACTCATAAATTATGTTACCAACGAGAATACCAGGAACTATGATGGGTAAATGCTTTGTAATTCTTTACTATTAGGAACCATTTCCTATAGCTTCAATAGATAACCTAGCATTAAAACAGTATAGTCAGAGAAGATGAAGAAAAGATTTCAAAAGGATTAAACCTAGTAGGGTGCTCAATTCCTAAAAGAAAACAGGTATCTAACCTCCCGGGGACTTACACTATTGCGTGTAAGAGGATCCTGGTAAATAACACCTCCTGCCCTACTTCCAAGGTGTTTTATCAACACAGACTGGAACAAAAGCCACAGGATACCAGGCTGCTGGGTACTATTGTAACTAAAACCATTACCTCATACAGCTGGCCCATGGTAGCACTGGTGGGAGGGATAGTGTTGTTGACAAAGAAGAATAAGGCGTCCTCAGGTCTCAGGTGAATCCTCTTCCGGATTAAGAAATAGAACTGGCCAACTACATGGAGGAAAAGGAAAAGAAAGGCAAGAAGAAAACAAAGGATTAGTAGAAGGTTAAGTCTCAGAAAAAGTTCTATTATATCTGTCCCTCTTTAAGATAAGTACCGGCTTTCTATACCATCTAAGCAAAGCCAAATACTGTCCAGGAACTTCTGTAATAAAACAGGGAAACTCAGAAGCCTGCATAGTCCCTGACATGCCATAGTGGAGCTATTGTTCTGCCTTACTCAATTTCAGATCTAATGTTAGCATATCCGTATATAGTATTGAAGGAATACTATATATCCAGTCCAAAATATTCCCATCATTGTCTAAAACTGACTTGAAATACCTTTCCATCCTCACTCCCACCCTTAGAGAAATTTAAGGATGGAAGGAGGTCTACTGGACTCTGGCAATCTTAGCATGGACAATCAGTCCAGTGTTGGGGCAATAAGCTCAATGCTTAACCTTTTCCTGAGAATACTGGAAAAGTTCTAAAAGGCTAATACTTCAATATATTAACTCTGGAGTAAACATATGTACAAAAATCTCACCAATGTACCCTAGATGAAGTGACTATTCCATTAAGGATCAAGGTAGAGACTGAATATATTCTTGTACTTCCAAACAGAATCTACTCATCACTAAAACTATCTTTAGGCAAGTAACTTACTTAGAATACCTACAATGTGATCCTCTCAAGAAACTGAGTTGGTTTTGTTTTTTGAATAAATCAGTATCATAACAAGGCTGATTTATTCTAAAAATGGTACCAATAATGGACAGCTGTTCTTTACTTTCAACAACTTTTGGTTTCACAGTGATGAGAAATGTTAATGGGAATTAGAAATGGAAGAACTATGGTGTCATTTTTTAATCAGCCAGCACTCTGGAGAATCTCACTCACTTTCACTAATTCTCACAAGAAGTAAGGACCCAGAATGTTTCGCGATGGAATGGTCAGGGGAGAGAAAGAGCATTACCGGTGAGGTCAGAGGGCACTAGGTACTTCCTCTTGTCCAGATCAGGCACCCTGGCTTTAGGAGCCTTCTCCACGATGACCTGAGAGGAGAGCAGGACAGTGGGAATGTAAACTAAAGAAGCTAACAGTATTTTCCTCCCATATGCTATAGCTGCCATATTGGAAGTGAAATTGTCTAGGCAATATATAATTTCTAAATCTCCCTTTCCACCCCTTTTCTGACTTTAAGTAATTTTAAGTTACCTGGGGTATCAAGGAGATTTTCTGAGGGCTAGGGGCATGGCTCAGGGGTACAGCACCTACCTAGCTAGCACAACACCCTGAATTCAAACCCAGAACCACCAAAACAAAAAAAAAAAGGATTTTCTGCTTTTTTTTCCAGGTGATTCTGATCATCTACTAGTTTTATTCTTTCTTAAAAATACCATTTATTAGGCCAGGTACAGTGGCTCAAGCCTGTAATCCTAGCTACTTGGGACGTGGAGACTGTGGTTTGATGCCTACCTAGGAAAAAGCTCATGAAATGCCATTTCAAGCAATGGCTGGGCATGGTGCCATGAGTCTGTAATCCCAACTACGTGGGAATGCACAAATCCCCACAAATGATCACAGCCCAAGGCAGCCTGGGGATAAAGTAAGGCCCTGTCTCAAAAATAATAACCAACACAAAAAGGGTAGCTCAAATGGTAGAGCACCTGCCTTGTAAGCATGAGGCCCTGAGTTAAAAAAAATTAAATTAAATTAAAACCACACTGCTATAATTTTATGTTAAAAGCTTGGTGCTGTCAGGTGGAGGTAGAAACTTTAAGAGGTGGGGACTAGTGGGAGACTTTAGGTCATTGGGGATGTGGCCTTAAAGGAGATGGTGGGACCTGTCTCCCGCTTTTTCTCTTTGACTTCCCCAGCAGGAAGTGAGTGGTTTTCCTCCGCCATGATATTCTGTCTTCACCACAGGCCCAAAAAAATAAGGCCAACTGGCCAGGGACTAGAACCTCTGATTCTAGGAGCTAAAATAAACCTTTTCTCTTAGAAGTGGACTATCTCTAATATTTGTCACATTAATGGAAAGCTGGCTAGCACACAGGTGAATGTGGCTCAAATTTTAAACTCAGTCAAAATTTTCAGGAATGACTGCAAAAAAGGCTTCAAGACACTTATTAAAATAGTTCTCACAATGAATGGCACACTATAATACGACAGTACACTAAACCATTTGTTGATATTGATTATATTAGGATTATATGTAATTTTCACTGTCTATGTTAAATATTTCCAAAGTACTTCAAGTTTTATGAAAATCATCTATTTCTGCAATAAAGAAAAAACCAAAATGTATAAAATCTTACAATATTTTTATACTTATAAAATAAAAATACCTTATAAAAACATTAATATTAGATTTTTAGTTTCAAAAATATAATAAATGTTAGATGTAAGATTTGGAAAGCATTGAAAAGTTAAGTGAAGAGGCAGAAATAGGCACTAAACAAGTATCCCTAGTAGCTGTGTGACCTTCAACAGGTCAATAAACCTCTCTGAACTTCAGCATTCCAATGAGTAAAAGAAAGATGACTTACAGTGAACCCTGAACTAGATTGACAGATGCTTTGCCTCTGTGGTCTCAATTTTCCTCATCTGCAAAATACGGCCAATAATCCATTGGGATGCTTATGAATTTTTAAAAACAGACCATCTGTTTCTAACAGTTTTCTGCTGTTGCTAATATTTCAAAATCCCATCAACTCCTCTCCGAATGCACAGTGAGGTTAAGCTCAGGTTGTGTGAGTAATCAGAGTGGGACATTAGAAACTGCTTACTCTGGCCATCTTTTCATCAACAGGACACTTTAGCACAGTAAGATTAAGGGTTGTGCCCAAAGGCATACGGAATTCCTGTTAGACAGCTCAAAATTAGAAACAAATCTCCAGGGCCAAGGATGTAGTTTGCTCAGCAGTAGAGCACGTGCTTAACATGAGCAAGGTCCTGGGTTCAATCCCCAAAAGCAAAAAAAAGAAACTCTCTGCACATAGCAGAGTTCTTCTTGCATCACACTACAGAGGGTCATAAGCGAAGCATCTCATGAGCAGCTGGGAGGCCCATCGCTCCTTCAAATACAACTGAGATCTAAGTAAAAGTTTTAATGGCTTATAAATTATTACATAAGTAAAAAATTTAACACCAAGCTATGAACAGAAGAAGAATAGGAAGAATTAGTTGAAACATTCTGGCTGGTTGAATGCAGGTAAATGACTGAAATGAAAAGGGCTAAGTTTTGAGCAAAGGTAATTTTAACTAGATTTAGGAACAGGAACATGTCAAGAGCTGTGATTTATGAAAAAGCTACTGGTACAGACTGTTCTTGGTGAGTTCTAAATAAAAGGTAGTCATTTTGCATGAGTTACCCTGCTGACACCAGACTAACCTGTGAACTCCTGACAGTAACAATAGTCTATCTGTTTCCAGTACTCCATAGTATAAGGCATACAGTGTACACACTAAATTCTGGTTAATAGAACTGTATTAGAAATTCAAAAACAATACAGCAGGAGGGCCAAGGGCTCCAGAAGATCTACAGCATGACAGTCAGGGGTGGAATCCCAGCTCTGCCACAAGTCAGGAGTGCCAGAACTTTGGGAAGTTATTTTATTTCCCTGTACTTGAGATTCTTCATTTTACAACAGATTGTCATGGAGGGAGGATTACAGTGAACATATGGACAAGCACTCAGAATACTGTGAAGTATGTGGTAAGGTATCAGTAAAAGAAATTTGTCATTTTTAAATATTGTTTAAAAAGGGGTGGTACAACGAGAATTAGGAGAAACTTTTAAAGCAGTCGTCCAAAACCCAAGAGAGTAATTTGTAAAGGATTATGTACTAGGCTAGGACTAGCTCTCCACTCTGCAAAAAAACCTTTATGTGTGTAATTCCTACAGAATGGCAGAATCCTAATGTCTCCTCTTCCTTCAGGAAAAGGGGTGCAAGGAGTCTGTACTGCTGAGCTAAGGCCCATGTTTCTTCTGGTATCTAAAAAGCCAAGAAAGTGAGGTAAGAATTGGAGAAGAATCCCAAAGAGTACCTGCAGATGAAGAAAAAAATGTCAGATCATTCCAACTCTTTTACCTTCTTAATTTACATGTAATATTTATCCTAATGTCCCTGCCTGAAGACAAAGAGAACCACCTTCATATCTCTGCTCCCCACCTCCAAAATCAAAAGCTGTGTCTTCCACCTGTCAATTGGGCTGCGCAGCCTACGTAAGAGAAATATCAGGCAAGTGGGTGGCAGAAACCCGGATGCAAGAGACACCTTGATATTTCTTCCTTCTCCTCCTCACTGCTGGCACTGGCTTTAACTACTGAAACCAGGGTCCAAATCAGAGAGAAGAAGCCCTTAGTGCTGTCCCGCGGGGTCCAGGTACCATCTGACCACGGTGGCAGGGAGAAGGCCTGTGATCCACAAGGCCCTAGATCCAAGAATGATGAGCCAGGCCGGCTGTTGCGCAGAAAACGTGTGACCTTGTTTTCTGGGCCTGTCTTGTAGCGCACCCCTGCCTCCTCTCCTAATTCTAAGAAAACACAAGGAAGGATCTACTTCTTCTAAACCTTTTTCTCCCACGCACGACAGGAGGACAAAAGTTGATTCACACAGAACCATCAAAGGCAGAAACCGATGGGGAGCAAGTCCCACGCCATCAGCTGCTCCCACATTGTCCTATTTTTTTATGCAGCAAAACTGTGAACCCCAAACGGCCCTATTTCGTGCACACCACAACCTACACGTGTGCTGAGTGCTGCTGAGTCACCCGACACCGAGGCTCCGCTCTAAGGATGCAGTCGGCTCTAAAGATGGGACCAGGCCCTGGGGAGATGGGCTCTTTAAGGCCCGCAGTCTAATCTGCCCACAGGTTCTCGTTATAGCGAAAGATGTTCAGGGTTAAGTAATTGGGGACCTGTCTTCTCTGGGGACACTGGTGACCCCCAACCCCCGCCCACGCTCTGCCCCTTTTCCCTCCTCCTTTTCCTCCTTCTCCTCCCCGCCCGGATGCACTCACGGGGACCCTGTCCGGATATTTCTTTCGGATCTTTTCTCCTTCCTTTTTCCGATACTCAAAGGGATGGTCCTCCTTATACTGGAACTTCATGATGGACCGCAGGGTTTCTAGGATCCCCGGACGGGGCCTGCCTCCGTCGCTGATGACTGCGTCTCTGGCTCCTTGCTGCCCACGGTCAAGTTCAATGTTATCAGAGCCGCTTCAGAACGTCAGCTCCCGTCACAATACTATCTGGTCAAGCGTCCAGAAGAGATCTGGGGCTTCCTGGCCTGAAAGGTGGGGGATGGCCAGGTAAAGTAATCCCGGTGGCTTTTCTGAAGAGCAGGGAACACAAAAACACCAGGGCAGCGCGTTGATATTGTGATGTCATCGCGTCCAGCCCTTCGCCCCGCCCCCAGCGAGCGGCACACTCCGGGATGGGGGGTAGATCTAAACATCTGCTATTTCTATTTTCTTCCTGTCTAAGTTTTTCCTAAATGGAGTCCATTAAAAACATGCAAACGTTTGACTTTGACTTGTTATTTTGTTATGACTGTGACATGGAATATGGCTATAAAAACCAAAGGGATGTTCTAAAAATGACTTTTCCCCTCTCCTTCGCGTTCCTTGGTTGGGTCCAAAACAAATACACAGGGGGAAAATCCAGTCTTTTCCAGCTCCTTAGGATCAGGAATACAAGGGAGGAAAGGGGCCGGGCCTCATGGGATCCTTTGGGCCAGGCAGAGACATCCCGTGCTTGCATTTTGACCTTTGTCCAGTTGCACCCTCCTGGCACCTCCAGAGCTGGGCTGGCTTCCTCCTGCCACGACCTCTCCTTCCCTCTCCATGCAGGCGTCATTTTGTTTGGGTCTGTGTTGCAATTGGTTCTTAGAACGCAGCAACATAAACAGAGCATGACTCAGGAATTTGAAAAGATGTCTAAGGTCAAGGGCATGAAGTGTAATCAGAGTTCAGGGAAGTGATGTCGGCGATGACTACTAAGGGCTTTTTGCACGTTCAAATACAGACATGATTCACTTTCTCCTATTCACTTAGAAGTTGGGCCTGTCTTCTGAAAATGAAAACATCAAGCAATTTAGATGATAAAGTCTGTGGTCCTCAAACTTTTTTTTGTAAAAACTCACCAGAAAGATAGTTCTACTGGTTACAAGGCCGTGTGGGAACAGAAAAAGCAGGCGGAGCGCAAGTGGAAGGTTCCAGGTGGTGGGGCAGGTGCAAGTGATGCCTCCCTCTGGTGTGCCCTGTTCCCCACAAAGAATCAAAAGACCAGACTGTGACCTTTCAAACTAGTGCTATTGGCAGCGATTCCAGGTCTCTGTAGGGGAAGACCAGCAGAAATATATAAAGAAAGAAAGGCTGCTTTGTCCTGGGCGAAGTCAGGCAACAGCACTCGCTATCACCTACCTTTTTTTTTTTTTAGATCAAGTTCTCAGTGTCTCTGATAAAAATACTAATAAAAGTAAACTGTTTCATTATTGAAACAAGAAAATGAATTGCCTGGCCCCACTTTTTAATGTTGTTTTTCTCCTGTCAATTCTTTTTACAAATGAAAACCAGTGAATTAGTGTTTTACAGTATGTTAACAATTTTCAGGACTTATTTTCAAATTGAAAATAGTTTAAGTCCCCGCCAGTGGCTAACACCTATGATTCTAGGTACTGAGGAGGTACCTAGAATCCAGGTTCAAAGCCAGCCCCCAACAAATAGTTCCCAAGACCCTATCTCAAAAACACCCATCACAGAAAAAGGATTGGAGGTGTGGTTCAAGCAGTAAGAGTGCATATACAGTACATGAAAAATAAGTCAGAGATGAAACTTTGATTAATCTTTCTATCACAGGCTTATCTAAATAATAATACTTTACATTGAAATAAAAACCTGTCAACTTCCAAAGTTTTACTTTTTGCCTTTGTTCTCAGCATTGCATTTAAAATTTACAAAAGTTAGTTTTATAAATTAACACAGTCAAATAAAAATATTTCAAAATTCCCTTTTCAACCAGACAAAATGCCTTTTTTTTTCCCACCAGCCCTTTTTCTGTGATGGGTTTTTTTGTGATGGGTTTTTTTGAGATAGGTTCTCATGAACTAATTTACCTGGGACTGGCTTCAAACCTAGATCCTTCTCATCTCTGCCTCCTTAGTAGGTAGCATCATAGGAACAGGCACCCAGTTCCACCAGACAAAATACTTTTTAAAAGATCAAATTTTCTCAAATATTCATTTCAAATTTTTCTTACAGTTTTCTACTTTTTCTGTGTTTTCAACAGTTGAAACATTTTCCAATCTTTTATGAACATTTTCAAACATAAAAAATTTCATTCCTCTACATGATTACAATACTATGACATCTGAAAAAGTTACCAAAATTCCCCAAATTATGTAATACTATATAGGTTTATATTCTTATTTCCTCAACTGCACCTAAAACACTTTTTATAATTTTTCTTCAATCAGGCATTAGAAGCAGAAAACGGCTGCAAGTTGACTATATAAGTAGGTCTGGTACCTTCTATTCAGGGTATTTTATATCATACATAAACTGATACATTAAACCAGAATTTCAGTATATTGATCTTCAATGAGAACTATAATGGCTAGAAACAGTATCTCTTTTGCTCCCATATCTGAATGTAATGAGTCTCAGCTATGTAATTGTCTTGGGCTTAATCAGACTGTGACTGGAGGTAGATTTACTTTGAAGACCTTTCACTTACATGTCCTGTAACTGGTTTGGGAAGTTTCAAAACACTAAGAGCTTCAGGGCTACATCTTGCTTTCTCTATATGGTCTCATCATAGGTCTCTTCACATAGTGGCCACACACTATTGTTATTTCATGGCAGCTAGAAGCTTCCTGAATAAATTTTACAAGAGAAAGGATAGGCCCTTTTAACCTAGTCTTTTTAACACCTGCTATAGTTTGGATCTTGAGTGTCCCCCAAAGGCCCTTTTGTGTCCCCCAAAAGCCTTGGCCCTCAGTCTGTGGTGCTATTGGAAGGTTGTGGAACCTTTAAGAGATGGGGCCCAGTGGGAGGTCATACCCTGGGATTCTGGTCTCTCGTTCTCACCACCTTGGGATGAGCAGCTTGCTAAACCATGTGCTCCCCCCCATGAAGTACTGATTCACCATAGGCACCCCCAACAAGGAGGCCAACTAGCCAAGGTCTAAAACTGTGAGTGAAAAATAAGCCTTTACTCTTTGGAAGTTGATTGCCTTGGGTATTTTTGTTACAGTAAAACAGCTTCAGTGAAACTTCTGCCTCATGTTTTTCCTTAAGGCAGTCACAAAGTTCTCCACAGGTTTGGAAAGATGACTGTAAAGGCTACCTCTAGGTTGGGGAAATGTTAAAAAGTCCCTGGGTATGCTTTAAAACCACCATTGTTACTAAACCTAATTCCTAATTGGTCTTCAATCTTGTGTTCATCACTTGTAGGGGACAGAGAGAGAAAGAAAGAGAGACAGAGAAAAAGAGAGAAGAGAGAGATCACTAATGCTAAAGTAAGCGTAATAAAACTATATTTTCATTGTATGACTCAGTGGTTAGCAGTTCTCTGTAGTCTTTGAGAGAAAGTTCAAATGCCCTAGGAGAGAAATAGAGTACTTATAATCTATCTACTGGCTATCTCTCTACCCTGACATATATTAGGAGGCATGCCCTAATCTAATCACTTCCCAAAGGCCCCACCTTTAAACAGCATAGTGGGATTAAATCTCCACCCTGTTAACACTAATTGGCATAGGGTTTGGAAGGATAAACTCCATGAGTTCAGAGACAACCATATTCAAACTAGACCAGCAAGAGGTTTATTTCTCACAGTTCTGGAGCCTGGGTGGGTCCAAAATGAAGGCACCAGCAGATGCATTGTCTGTTGAGAGCCCACTTCCTTGTAGACAGTTGTCTTCTCACTCTGAACTCACAGGACAGAAGCAAAGAAGAAGTTTCTCCAGGGCCTCTTTTAGAAGGGCACTAATCCCATTTTTAAGGGCTCTGCTTTCAGGATTTAATTATCTCTCAAAGACCTTGCCTCCTAATACCATGAGTTTGATAGTTTTCATCATATGAATGGGGAAGGGGAACACAATTATTCAGACTAGTGAATTGTGGTGTTTGAGGATATTTTAATGGAATTTGAGTCCTTTGTTTCAGCTGTTACCCCTGTAGAACTATACACTGTGTGAAAGTCTTTCTTTCCCAGGCTTAGTCAATTCTTAGACCAGCAAAAAGTCTCAGTCAAGACTATTAGGCTGAAAAGCACAGAGAGATAGACAAACAGAACAGGTTTATTCAGGAAAAGAAACCTGCAGAAGTGGTCTACAGCAAGAGAATTAGAGCCCACTGCCACTCACAGACTGGGGTTTTATAGGAGAGGAAGGACCTGGTAAGAGGTGGGGAAATTTTTCATTGTGGTTTGCCCATTGTCTATTGCTAGGGGTAATCAAGGAACTAGGTCTTGTGTTCTGGTACAGGTGGTGAGAAACAGGACTTTCAGTCATGGACCAATGGCAAGAATAGGACTTTGATGGGGGTAGTCAAGGAACTAGTCCTTGTGTTCTAGCACAGGTTTAGAGAAGCAAGAGTTTCCCTTGGGAACCCATCTCTACTGGAGCTAAACAACTCTAGGATCAAGCAGAGTTTAAGATGGCATAAGTGATGTCAAACTGAGACCTAACAATGCCCATGCCTTTGATATGCAAACTGACAAACCCAGCACTTGACTGTCCTATATCTGGCCTATCTAATCCATGAGGCCATTAGTTATTCCAGGGCCAGGTACCAGGCAACTATAAATCACTCCTTTAGTTAGAACACAAGGGAATTATTCAAAATAGCCACTCTTAAACTGTTGACCATGCCTTGCCTTGTCTTTCCCAAGGAAACCCCAATAAAGATTCTGGTTTAAACCTTCCCCTTTGCTCCCGTCTTCTACTTTCTAAAAATTGTGGTATCTTTTTCATGTGGCCCTGCACAGCATGGGGCCTCTGTCTCAAAGATCTGTATGCATAGTAAACTTTTTCTGGGCACCTCCTCTGTCTTCTCTTGTGGCTATACATGCCTCTGACCATCTCATAAAAGAGCACAAAACACCATATTATTTTGGAATTATATCCTCAATTCTGTCTGACCTGATGTAAAAGTCAAAACATGCAGTATGGCATAGTAAAATAAAAAAGAACAAACAAAGGGGTGCTGAGCTTGGTGATTCACGCTTGTAATCCCAGCAGTTGTGAGGCAGGGTCAGAAGAAGCACAAGTTTGAGGCCAGTCTGGGTGTCACGAGCAGGTGATGGTATATAGTTGACCGTCAGTCAGGAGCTAAATAAATTAGGCAG